TTTACTGTTTAATCTCTCAGGATTAAAAAAAAAAAAAATCTAAGGAATTAAACAACAAAGGAATTGTCAAGGTAAAATGGCTCAATGCCCCAATCTTAGGAGTATAATATTAGCTATTCCAGTTTGCTTCAAAACAAAATAAATTTTTATGTTTTCTAAATGAAATGATGTGCACAACCACCATCTTCATCTGAGCTTGTCATAACTCTCAAATACACAAAGCTTCATTTTTAAACCTGGTGAAAACTGTAACAGGAATGATTGCTGACCTTAATATGTAGTGTGTACCTTACAGAAAATTTAAAAACAATGATAACACAGTAATAATGTCATTAATAATAAAGTCCTCAATTTAGACTTTGGAACATTCTTCCATCAAGGCAGGGGAAGGGAAAATTCAGTCCAATGAGTCTATCTCAAGATCTTCATCTCTTGTTTGCTCCATTTGTATTCTCTTTTCAGTAACTGGATTAGTGTGCTCAGTTTCCATCTGCTCCTCTTGCTTGTGTTTTCTCTCGGTTGCCTCCTTCTCATGCTGCCCTTTTAGCAGGTTCTGTCTATGGGCAGTTTGAAAGTTTTTCTGGCCTTTTCTCTTCTTTTCACCTTCTTGATCATCTCGTTCAGAATCACAGGTTGATGCAACACCTGCTTTAGGTAAATTTTTCCTTTTTGATTCCACTTGTTTCTTCCCCTCTTCCTTGTCAGGCTCCCCTTGGTTTATCTTCTTCCTGTTGGCCCTCTTCATTCTTTTCCAGTTGTTTTTTAGGTTGTTTTTCCTCTTGCCCTTTCTTCTTAGTTTTATCTTCTTCAGTTACCGTGTCACTCTCTGTTTTACCATTTGGGGTCTGCCTCTTGGTTTGGAATCTTGATTTCTGTAGCTGCAGGGCATCTTCTTTTCAGACTCACTTTTAGATTAACAGATGTTATTGCCCTTGTCACTATTCCAGTATTCTCCATTTCTAATTGTTCTTCTGCCTTTCTCATTCCCCCTCTTCTGGCAGCTTTTAGGAGTAGTTATTTATATCAATTGCTTTAGTCACATCCTCATTGCTGGCTTTTTCTTCCCAGTCAGTATCCTTCTTTGAAACACTAGTTTCTTTTGTTTCAGCTTCAACTTCAGGTGATACATTTGACTGCTTTGTTGAGGCCTGCAGACTAGAAAATTTCACTTTTGGATTGTTATCTATTTCCCATAAACCTTCATTAAAACCTTTTCATTTATTTGACTTGCCGTATTTTTCCTTATTTTC